CCTCCTCCTCCTCCTCCTCCTCCTCCTCCTTCTCCTTCTTCTTCATTCTCCTCTTCCTCCCCGGCCTCCCCCACTTCCGATGCCACTAACGCTACACTCGCCACGTAATGCTGAATGTTGGCAGCCTCCCCGCTCTGTTATTAAGTCCGATATGAAAGTAATTGGCGCGTGTTTTGCGAGCGGCGTGCGAAATGCGTACACGAAGACGTGTTTAGGCGACTCGTCGGGCAGAGCGCTGCCGACGACGCCGACGGCGTCAACTTTCAGTTTCACTTTCTGCTCCACATTTCATATTGGTCTAAGTCCTTCATTCGCCAACGAAGGCGGAGTAGGAGAACCTCTCCGTGCGCCCGAGTTACACTATCGAGTGACGAGTAGAGAGGTCGGATGAATCAATCGAAGTATTTTCTCCGAGTCTAAATCCCCGTTGTAATGTCGGTGACTATCCCGCCTACACCTGTCCTGTGGCTCTTCTGCGACGACGCTCAGCGGGATGGGTGACATCACTACTTTTTTCCCCTCCCCCGGGTCCGCTCGGGGCAAAGGGAAGCAGCCCATCTGGTGCGGGACCACAGCTGCTCTGTGCCGCCAGCTGCATCTGGACTAGCTGCCGCGCCGGACTGGTCTAGCATCTATATTGCGCTTGTAGGTGATCGAAAAAGTAATAGCATGTTAATCTTTTCCCCCCGGTCTGTTTAATGTGCGGTCGCAAAACATGTTACGGTTAGGGTTAGAGGAGCGGATGAGAGTTAGCAAACATATACAGAGAAGATTGTAATTGTGCTGTATATTTCTTCTGGTCGAGGATTCGGCAATACACATTAAAACAACGCGTGGTTTTTCTTTTGCAAAACTTGAACAGTGTCAGGAACTGACACATATTTACGCAATAAACTCATGATCTGAGGACATCATCTCAAAAATAAGTGAAATTCCTACATATTAATTAGCTCCTTTAAAAAATGAGGAGCTTTTCTTTTCCCTCAAATTTGTGAGTTCAAAGTTTTCCCCTTTTCTTCAAAAAATCAGAGACATCGTTTTTACCGTGTAGTTGACAGTGTACCGACACGGAGTGGCCTCGGCGTGATTTATTTTTTCCCTGCCGGAACGCTGGTGGGCCGCACAAAACGGGATTATAATAGGCGATGGTGGACATTAATAATATCAAGGACCAATAATTGAAAGATTTCATCGACGGACGCGAAAGGTCTGCCGCTCCTCATGCCAAAGGAGGTGCGCGCGAGTATGGTGGGGCTGGCGGCCTGGAGGTGTGGCAGCGGTGGTGGGACACTGTTAAAAATGGAGAAAGAAAGTAAGAGAGCAAAGTAAAGTGTCGTGTGTTTTCATACAAATTCCAGGCCAAGCAGCGTCCATTGTCCTCCGGCACGCACGCCGTGCACGCATTCGTGCTCCTGCATACATGAAATGTCGATGACCCCCGCGGAGTGGGGCGGACCCACTTGGTGGGAGGAAAAGGGAATCATTGCGCCGATTAAGTTCGAACTGGCAACGTTAACGGTACTGACTGGCAAAGGCTCAGAATGAATCCGTCGTTGAATATTTTCCTTTCTGCCCGGACGTGTGGAGGTGGAGCGTTTGTGGCGTTTTGGGTCGCCCTTGAAATATCAGGTACGTTCAATGGTCCAGCCTGTACGTGAGTAAAGGTGTGACGGCTGGCCGCGGCAGGGGAGGGGGTGGGGACGGTATTGACAGACGAGAGGGAAAAAGAGGGGGGGGGGCGTCTACCAGACTGACTGAAAAGTCAATTGAATGGCGTTTGGACGGCGCAGGACCGCGGTGCCCATGAGGAGGGGGCTACAAGAAGTCGTCGAAGGACGGATGACAATTGTGATGCAGCTGCGCCGTCATCCCGCCTTGATGTCGTGTAATAACGCTCACTCTCTCGCTGCCTTGTCTCTGGAGTGCCACAACAGTCTGCTAGGTCTACCTTCCGCGAGAGGGGAGGAAAAAGGATATCGGCCGCAAGAGGAGAGAGATGTAATAATAATAATGTCTGATTTTCCCTTTCCCGTTGTGTTTCAGGTCGGTTGGCAGGCGCGGCCTATCTGCGCAAGATGCAAAGCCGCAGGAGCGCACACAGAGCCAGGCCTTTTTGTGGTCATCGCGGGCGGCCGGGCTTCCTTATAGCGTATGTTATTTCTCAATCGTTCTGTCATTGAAGAGGTCGGTTTCCAACACAGACACCAGGGGATCTGACAAAAATAAATGAAGGTATTGATGAGGTGCGGAGCTGTTAAAACAAAGTAATTGGGCCCCTGGATAAGATTAATCATCCCCGCTTTAGTGCGGCGCCACTGATGAAGCGCCGGGAGTCCGACTATCCCGCAGTAGCTTTCGGCTAGCCCGGAGAGGGTCGTTAAAAATACTCTCATTGCTGCCCGACGCAGAAGCACTCTGGAATTTATGTCCAGGAGAAAGTTTTGGCGGTGTTTCTTTGCGATTCACTACGAAAAAGGCAGAGGGTTGTTTGTGGGTTTTGGCAGAGCACTCTGAACTTTCAGAGACTAATTGGATTTCCAAACTATGTCAGAGCACGCATCTTGCAAAAGAGGCTTTTCTCTCATTGCGATAAAAAACGAAATACGTCGATTTAAAGAGATTGATGCATAGTTTTTGAGAAAATTTATAATTTAAAAAAAATGAAACTGCGTTGTCTAAATCCGTCGACGCAAGACTTCCATACAGAGTGAATTCAATTGTTCGTTTCCGGCTCCAGTCGTTTACAGTCCCACCCAAATCTCTTTTCAATCCTCGGTATAAAATTACCCGGAGGAGTTGACGAAACCCTCTGGAAGCCGCTTTGACCGTTGACAAATGCGACGGCACGCGCGCGGGTCGGGTCCGTCGGGTCGGTCCGGGTCGGTCCGGGTCGGTCGGGGACGCGGGGGTCTGCCGGGCTGCCGGGAGGAGATCCGATCGCGCGGTGGGCTCTGGCAGGCGCGGGTATAGGAGCGGCCGCGGCCTGGAGGAGTTCCGGCTGTCTGCGGCGACCGTGAAGAAATTAGACGAATGACAACACACCTACGCCTAGCAGCGGCCGGTCGCGTTGTGAAATTTATTTGAGGTGGACGATGATCTATCCGGCCGCCGACTCCCGATGGCGGACTCGGATTTATATTTCAAATCTTTGAAACGAGCGAAGCGATACGTTTGGAGAGCCGCGACTTCCCTTTGCGCTGTTCGGACTTTGATACACAACATCTCGCTGCGTTGTACGTCGCACGTCACAAAGCACTGCTACTTGCGCGCCGCTATTGTCGTGTCCGGTGGCCTCAGGGCAGCCCGCTGGACTAGAGCCGCCATTCAATGTAAATACCGGGGGCGGATTAACCCAGGGGCTGCTAGAGAGGATTATGTGCTGCCATGTCCGTGTGTAGAGAGAGGGGGGTGGATTGATTGTTTATTAGTCTTGTGCAATTGCTAGAGAGAGGGAGAGAGAGAGAGAGAGAGAGAGAGAGAGAGAGAGATTGAGAGAGGAGAAAAAGAAGAAGACAAATTGTTGTTAAACTCTTGACCTGGAATAAGCTTTCACTCATCGCATTGGTGTGGTCTACGAGCTGATACCTCGCCTGCCTCCACCCTCCGCGGTGGAGGTGGCTTCGGCCGCCCGCACTCGCCAGCGCCGGCCCGCCGCGCCCGCTAGTCGGCCGAGCACGCGGGAGATTTCCGGACGCTTTGGCAGGTGCTCTCTGCTGGTCCACATCGGGTGGGGCGCGGTTGTGGTCCGGGCGGGTGCGGCTGCTCGCGCCCGCCATTCATCCAGCCTCGTTGTTCGGTGTTTGCTTTCGCTTTGTCGACCTGCGAATAACGATCACGGGCCGGCGGCGGTGTGTGCTGCGCGGCGCCGCTGCGGCTGCAAATAATGGGAATGGCGGCTCGTTATATTGCGTTGCCTCAACCAAACCCTAAAAAAAATGAAGAGACCGCATCAAAAGCGAGGCGAATAAAGCTGTATGCGCACGGATTTGACGGCAAAGGGAGTAGATTAATGACAAATCACGGTGGGACGTCGTGGTTCGTGACCTGACCTTGATCCCGAGGCGGCGCCGAAGATGTCGACCGGTCGCGCGCCGGCGAGGCGTGCGGCCTTGTTTCAGCGGGCCCTTCTTCACGGCGACGCGCTTCCTTTGCGTCTCATTTGCATGTTGTTTCTTCCTCCACTTCCTCTTTTCCGCCTGGTCCTTCCCCCTCCGCCGCCGCCGCTGCGCCGTTTGCCCCGCCGCCGCCGCCCAGCGACGCCACGCCGTCTGGGTGCTTTGCTTTGGTTCGGCTGCTGATGATTCAAACGAAAGTGTAGCGGTCTGCCCGCTCTGCGCCCCGCCCC